TAAGTGCCGTTTTTTAATCTGAGTGGCTGGGATTTTGGTCTTTGGGCGCTACACCTGCTGCGTGTTTCTGCTGCGTGTTTCTGCAGCATGTTTCTGCTGCGTGTTTCTGCAGCATGTTTCTGCAGCATGTTTCTGCAGCATGTTTCTGCAGCGTGTTTCTGCAGCATGTTTCTGCAGCATGTTTCTGCAGCGTGTTTCTGCTGCGTGTTTCTGCAGCATGTTTCTGCAGCATGTTTCTGCAGCATGTTTCTGCAGCATGTTTCTGCAGCATGTTTCTGCTGCGTGTTTCTGCAGCATGTTTCTGCAGCATGTTTCTGCAGCATGTTTCTGCAGCATGTTTCTGCTGCGTGTTTCTGCAGCATGTTTCTGCAGCATGTTTCTGCAGCATTGTTGCTCCTCTGGCGTTATTGGCTGCAGCTGGAGCCCTTTGCAGTGCACGGCTTCTACCTGCTTCTGATCTGCTCATTCCCCAGGTAGGCTGCGCACCCAATCCTCAGCAAGCTTGCTCCTGTTTAGATCTTTTATTATTGTCATGTAACTTGAACCTTGAACTAATGTGCTTTTTTATTTTTAGGCACATGTCTGAGCTGCACACCGCTTTGCTTAAATGCTCCAGTGCACAGGGACGCTCTGCTGTCTTGTCTTGGTTTGAGACAACCTTCAGAGTTTGGGCTGCTCCTCCACTACATTCGTTGCTGCTATTTTTGCAGCCGGTCGATTGGACAGTGCATGTCTCCTCTGCTCTGCTGTAATGGGGTGTGAGACTGGACATTAACAGTTTGTTCCCCCAAGTTTAATTTATTATTGTATGTGGAATGACAAATCTCTGCCTTTACCTCATGCTCCCTCTGTCGTCAGTAGTAGGCCTGAAGCTTGTGTTTTTAATAGGATTATCCGTTTTAATTAATTATAATATTTTTGTAGAACTCAAGTCTGAGTCAAGATGTGTTTCTGAACCTGTGATGTTTTTAAATTGTTGGGTGGTAACATCCCCCAACTGGCGTTGTTGAGTTTTATTCAAAACTATTTAAATCACACCTCCCTGTTGGTCACTAACCATAGGATTTACCAAAAAGAAAAGTCTTGAGCTCAGTCTTAAAACTGGACAACGTGTCAGCCTCACGGACAGAAACTGGAAGTTAGAGGAGCCTGATAACTGAAAGATCTTCCTCCCATTCTGCTTTTGGAAACTCTAGGAACCACAAGTAAACCTGCAGTTTGAGAGCGAAGTGCTCCGTTAGGAAAACATGGAACAATATTGAATATAAGATGGAGCTAGGTTGTTGAGAGCTTTGTAGATCAGAAGTAAGATTTTGAATTCAATTCTGGATTTGACAGGGAGCCAATGGAGAGAAGCTAAAACTGGAGACATGATCTCTCATTAAGACTCTGGCAGCAGCGTTTTGGATCAACTGAAGACTTTATAAAGAAATATTTGGACACCCAGATAACAAACCATTGCAATTACAGAGTGGTTTTAAAGTTTATTTGCGTTATTGTCTTAAAAAACTTGAAACCAGCTTCTACTACGTCTACCTTCTCCTTTTTTTTAGGGTGTCCACTGTGAATTATCTGCCTCATCTCAGCCCATCATCCACCACGCCAACCCTCGGCACAGCGGCAGAGCCAGAATTTCATCGAAGGGGTGACACTTTTTCAAGGGGCCACATACAAACAAAGGAAACTGTTTCTTAAACCTGATATCAGAGGAACATACCTTCTTCACAGTTTTCTAATCCTTCAACCATAATCCGTCACTCACTCTCGCTCACTCACACGTTATTGTTGTAGCCAAGGCATGGATCTCTGTCGTTTCATTAACAGGGTGACGCAAATATTTTAAATACTTTCTGCAAACGCAAGCATACAGGAAATCTTTGAGTGAGATACTCTGAAGACTAATAAAAAATGTACGTTTTATAAAAAGAAATTAGTGTTTTGATACAAACAACGCACCGTTTAATAATTTGTCCTCATTTACTCGGTGCATTTTTCAACGCCACATGCAGTGACTTGTCAATCTGCTGAGGTGGCACCTGGGATGGCCAGTCAGGTGGCAAGTGCCACCTTGACCACCCCTCTGGCTCCGCCCCTGCCTTTGGACATCAGCAAACAGCGGTGACGTGCGGTGAGGTTTGACAGGTGAGGCATGACTCATCTGCTCATGAACCCAAATAGAAGCTTATATTTCAATTTAGCCTTTTTTTTTTAAAGCGAATCTAATTATGCTTTAATCAACGTAATACTTCTCTTTTTTTAAAATAAATAAACGTATTCTCCTTTTATTTTATATGACGGAGCTTTAATGCCATGCTAAGAAAAAACCCCCATTGAGAATAAAGTCATAAAATTACAAGAATAAAGTCATAATTTACAAGGATAAATTCGTAATACATGGTGGGTCGGCTCGCACCTGCTGTGGACGGCCTCCAGCGCGAGTCACTGTGTTTATGATGTAGTCCGTGATGACTTTTGGGTCAATGTTTGTGAAATGTCTCCATCCACATTATGTCATGACTAAATCTGTCAATGCAGCCATTAATTGCAGTGAATACAGCTTCAGTTTATCATCAGAATCTATGCGTTGGACCCCCTGCCGACATCAACATTCATCATTTTACTGCAGTTGTAAGACTTTTTCGTGTCCGAGTTCTGATAATATTACGAGTTTATTCTCATAATATTATGACTTTATTCTCATTCGTAATGTAATTATTATTTTTTTGCGTGGCCCTAAAGCTCCGTCATAATTTTAAGATGAATGAGTTTGGAAAAATGATGAGTTTAGGAAATCACTTGGTTTTGAGAAATGATCTTCCACCCCGCCCCTCTGTGTAACAGAAGAATGCACAGCGACGTTTCATTGTCCCTGTGGGGCAGCACTGCCCCCTATCGGTGCAGAAAGGTACTTTCTGCCTCACCCTGTGTATTTTCACTGTGTGGTTATGACCGATTAGAAAAATTGTCACATTCATTCAATATATTAGACAGACTTTAGAACACCAGCATGCGCAGCACGTGTGTAATCAAATATGTATATTGATGATATAAAGAGAGACGGGCATGCTTCAACCACCTACGTCATATTTTATGACGCAGCGCCCCCAGAGGTGAACCAGAGCACTACACTGCCTCACACGGATCGTTTGAACAGGCAATGCGTAAATTCTGCGAATTTGACCGTTGAAGTGATGAAATAATTTAGAAAACTTTTTTATGAATTTTCTAGAACAGTCAAGTGGTCAAATGTATTTTCTCTCATCATTGTCAGTATTTTACTTGTCATGATGACAGGAGGCACTACCTGCCTCTCCTGCCTGCACGTCACTGGTGAACAGTGTCTGCGAGCTTCCTCTGTTCTTCCTGACAGCTCCATATTCAACGCCCTTTTGTTTTGTTGTGGTTTGGCGCTACATAAATAAATTTAATTGAATTCTCAGAAGACCCAGATGATGAATAAGAAAAGCATCAAAATTCCCAGCAGTTTATCGAATCCTTTATTTAAATTCTAAATCAGATTTAGTTTTTGCAAAATGAAAGTGTTTTTTGTTTTTTTTAAGTTATATTTTGTAGAAGAAGGAAAAAAAAATCAAAACACAAATAATCTGATTTATTAGAATGTTAAGAGTGAGCACATACAGATGATTGACATGCAAGAACCTGAACCAAGAAAAATAAAACTTGTAGATATTTAAGAGGAACATTGTACAAAATAACTCAAGTGAACTATTCTGATGTGAAGAAGTAATAACAGTCTTTTAAAAGTTCAGTCAGTATGCTCATGCTAATTACATCAAACTGCACGTGTTTCTTCAGAGACGTTCAAATCGAACATGAAATGTTTGGACCTTTGGACCATCCTACATCTGCAGCCCCAGAAACGGACGCATCCTTTACCGCAGCACTGAATCAAAGCGTCAGGACCATAAAAAACATCCGTTTATCTATAACTTTGTCTGAAAAGCTTAAATATATTCAGCCAAACCGGTTCTCAGATGTGTAGCTGCATCAAATAAAAGCATTTTTCTGTGAAACGTGTCAAAGTACGATTTGTTACAAACTTGTCTGATCGTGGCTTTTATCTACAAAAACTTGTAGCATGAAGTGAAACGTGAGCGTCAGGAGCTCGGCACGCATTATCAGCAAACTATCCTTTTTGGCAGGTGCTGTTTGGCCTTTTTGATTTTATAAATTCCTTCAGTCTAACAGTAAACATCTACTATACAGATAATTCATAGAGCGACGGCATTAAGCCTCTTTTTCTTTATTTTTTTTATTCGCCAGGCCAAAATCTGCATTAAAACCTAAATTAAATAAGCTCCAAACTAACTGCGTCTGCACATGGACTGAACTTTCTACCCGTTTTATTCTCAGTAAACATGTTTGATATCGGCAGACTGGAAAAACTTGCTGATGGAGAAAAGAGTGGAGTTTAAATTTTGCTAAATAAAATCACTTTTTTTTATTTTTTCAGATAGTGAGCACCGTTTTTATGTTCAGCTAAAGAGCCATTAAAGCATTTAATTTGCACAAAAATTTTTTCAGTAGTGCGAATGTGTCTCCCCAGAGAGAGGTATTTAAATAAATAAATATGTGGAGGGTACACAGTAACAGCAGTGGTCTTTTGGTATGAAAAAGTAGAAACTCTGGAATAAATATTTGAATTGTTTCATTAAAAGTAAACTGAATACGAGTCAGAATCAGCAGGCAGTCGACCAACACATTCATCAGCTCTCCTGCATGTTATCACACACAAACGGCTCCAAAAATAAACTGCAAATGCAATAAATAAATAAATATAAGAAATATTTTCACATTCAAACTAAACATCTGAACGAGCAGCAGTGCATGCAGATTTTCTGGTCCTGTATAAAGTAAGGCACCAGAGGTTTCCAGAATTCACCTGGTATACGAAGTATACTTAGAAAAAAAGTATTTTGTTTTAAAGGCCGTCTATGAAAGTGCATACAGCAGACTGGAACCATGGGGCCCTTCAGCTTTCAGGCTTCAGCAGAGGTCATCTTCTGCAGCAACGGCATCTGGCAGGAAAGAAAAATATATTTTTTAACCCCACTACAAAACTCAGAGGTTTTCATTACAGAACAGCATTACAGTAGTCCCTCACTACTTCGTGGTTCGACTTTGGCTGACTCGCTCTTTTGCGGTTTTTCAAAGTAAGATTGTACGAGGGGGGAAAAAAAAAATTGCACAGGACACGATTGTCAACTTTAATATTACTCACGTGATTGGGACAGTACTGGATACAGTACTGTACAGTAAAAAGTTAACGAAAAAATTAAATACTTTGGACAGGCGCCATCATTTTGTAGTTTTCTTTCAATAAGCCTACACTGTATCCCCGCTCATAATGACTACATTTCCCAGAAGCCAACAGGGCCCCACCCAGAAGCCCCGTTGCCTTCTGCTGAAATACACAGAGGAAAAGTTTTGATCTGATCCTTATTCATAGAGTGACTTTGGCGCCCAGCGGATGCAGAGAGCTGCACAGAACCCACCAGGAACCGGACATCCGGACTCACGGGTCAATCTGAGAGCTGCTTGCCGGCCCAAGAAGACTTCCAAGCAGGGAGGCGCCACCCGGAGGTCCGGCGTTCTCTCCGGAGCCCAATGGGACTACTCTGAGCCGACCAGAACCGGTGGGGTAGGTCTGTCGAAACGGAACCGAGTCAGACTGGAACCGAGCTGCTGCTGCTCTACACAGCTGGTGAGTAAAATTTAGTAGCTACATTTAAGTATGTTGTTAAAATAACATAGGTTTAAGAGTTTGTAACATTGCAAGAGTGTGGGAAGGGTTTCTCAAGCCTTAAAAAATTTAAATACTAAAATATAATGTCCCTTTTCACATATTGCGTGGGGGGTCTGGACTGTAATCCCTGCAACAAACGAGGAATTACTGCATTCTGTTTATGCCACAGCAGAGCTCCAATATTTAAAGTCCGATGACCACTAGTTGCTGCAGCCTCGGTGGAAAACCACCAGGGCTGAAATTAAAAGTCTCCTCAAGTGAAACTGCAGCAGCTGAGAGACGCCGTCTCTCGAAGCGGTTGAAAATGTTGCTCGTGTTGCTATTAGACGTGCAAACCTCTTCGGTGAAAACTTTATGACTGACTGTTGTTTTTGGCTTCACGGACGAGGAAAAAGACAAACCGGTTCCGACCAACTCGTCTGTTCTGGTTCCATTTTCAGCCTCAGCTTCCTGCTGATCTCTAAATCAGTGGTTCCCAACCTTGGTCCTTGAGGAACACCACCCTACTTGTTTTTAGTCGTTTCTCTGCTCCAACACACCTGATTCAGTGGTTTAATTACTTCCTTAAGTTCGGCAGAAACCTGTCAATCACCTTTTCATTCAAACCAGGTGCGTTGGAGAACGACTAAAACAAGTACGGTGGTGTTCCTCAGGGACCAGGGTTGGGAACCACTGCTCTAAATAATAAACTCAACTGCAGTTTCCTTTGACGGGTTAACCACAGTTTTCTAGGGTAGGCACTAAATTAACTTACAATTTGTGTAATTCTGCTGAGAAAAAGCTTGACTCACCGGCGCAGGAGCATAGAACAACAGAACGTGCTCTACAGATGATCATGTGAATCATCAACACTTTCTAGTCTTTGCTGCTCTCTCAGTCTCGGTCTCAAAATGTTTTGCACGAGCTGGACAGATCGATACACTCGTCTCAGGTGAACCGAACCGTTGGGACAACAATCGCTCCAACATGTGCACACAAGACAGAAGTAGCTGCTGGTTACGTAACTGATGGATGTTTTAAACACTAAACATCTGACAGCTGAAACCACCTGAGACTGACGGCACGGCTCAGAAACTGCTCAGAACAGCGTGGCTTTAGGCAACCGGGGATCGTTTGCATTAATTATCATCATCTTGGTAAAATAATGATAATTGATTACCTTTGCCAAATCCACTCCAGTGAGAGCATTCACAGACACAGGAAGTTCGGCCAAAAGACGATTTATTTTGCCCGTCACGCAGCTGCTCTCCCCGCTGAGGATCACAATCTCGTTTGTTTTGGCTAAAGGTGCGGAGATCTTTGAAGCTATCTGAAACAAACACGGTTAGGCGTTAAACAAGCAACATTTCTCTCAGTGCTCAAATAAACAGTTCCTGAAGGAACTGCACCAAAAAGACGCAATAGAAAATTTTCACAATCTGGTTAGCAGATGTAAAATGTTTTAAAGGCGTCAGTTTCCTGTTTGTAGATTTGTTTTGCTAAGCTAAGCTTGGCTAGGCTAACTGCCATGTGTTATTTTCTTCCCTTACGACATCAACCAGTAAAATAAATGAATAAAAAGACACTCGATTTCCAGCAGGAAAACAGTTGATGAAGCCCGAACCGGACCAGCGCCACCTTTAGGTTGGTCCTAGTTTGTTTGAAGTCATTGGCCTTGGTAAGATTTATATCACGCCTCGTATCGTTTTTTTCAGGTATGTTAATTTTTGTAGGTCATCCCTTTTTTATGCTGTTTGTTCATTGATAGCATACTCCATGATTGTGTATGGGGGAGTAGGCGGGGCTTAAATCTCCACATCGCTATTGCGCTGGTTCAACAAATTCAACGTGGCGCCCTTCAATGGCGCTTTCAACTCTAAACGATGAAAGAATGCGAGACATTATGTCCAGATTTTATTTACACTCAGTGGTTTCAACTAATGCTAAACAAATGAACGATGAAGCTTAAATAAATAAAAAAATAAAAACTATTAGCAAATTTAATTATTGTGCTGCAACAACAAAATGTTCAGAATATGAGAATGACCTGATGACATGCTCGGTGAAAACGTTTCAAAACTACACACTGATCAGCTTTAAACAGACATAGTTTGGGATAAATGCAGCTTTCTGCAGTGTGTGTGTGTGTGTGTGTGTGTGTGTGTGTGTGTATGTTACCTTGGGCAGGGCCTCGAGGACCAGAGCAATCTTGGCTGCCTCTCCGTACGCCTGATAGGCCTCAGCCTTCAGCCTCATCTTTTCAGCCTCCGCTTTTCCCACAGCTTTGATGTAGGAAGCCTCGGCTTCTCCGATCTTCATCTTCTCAGCCTCAGCCTGAGCGATCAGCACCTTCTTCATCCTGATGCAAGGAAATGCAAAAACAACTCAACCTAATGATAGAAGCTGCTGCAGATTTTAAACAGTTCCATCAATGAAACCACTATAATCCACTAAACACAATTTGAACGTTTAAAGATTTCAGTTCCACACTTTGATCTACTTCATGACATTCAGTTTACATTTATCTAATCTTTTCTTTTGGTCTGAATGAAATTTAATAACGCTCCAGCTTAGCACCTGACATCACAAAGTATTTAATGAGCAAGTTTCATTTTAGGAAATAAAATCAGTGTTGAGAATAGAGCTGGACCGATATCGGTAGGGACGATATTTTAGGCCAATATAGATGTTTGGGGACCTACAGGTATCGGTGATATTTGTCCCATCATGCACCAATATAAACACTTCTAATTTTCACCCCTAAAATGCTGGAACCAGCCATAATTGTACAATGTATCCAGCAGAGGGTGTGTGAAGACAACTTTCAAGACATGACTGTTCACTTAAGTTTCACTTTCAGCACAGCCGAAGCAGAGAGCAATACTCTGTGGCACATTTAGCTAAACAGAGCATGGTAAGTTTATTTAAACTGGTCTGAAAAATAAATCAACAATAATAAATTATCTTCAATCCTCCAACCTGCTTGTCATTAGCCATGTGCCTCTCAAGTTAGCAAGCTAACATTTAGATAACCTAGCATAGACTATTGCCTTGTAAAACTTTATCCAGAACAATAAATCTAATGTAGAGGTAAAATATATCAGCTCTGTTACAAATAAAGTCCAGTTGTTTTTGTCTTGAACTTTTTTGAATTTACCATGTCCTGGATGACTGAGAATCTTCACCAGCGTAAAATATATCAGTGTTAGTAACGTTATCTTTGTCGTCCTCAATGAAATGAATTGTTTGTGTGAAATCTTAACTGCTCTGCAAAGAAAAAAAATTAAAATCTGCTGCGGTGAATACTAATTAGACCTTCAGCATACGTGACCGACTGTTTAAACGATGAACAGTGACGCTGTTTCTTCATTTAATTTATATTTTTGTAACTCAATTGATAACTTTATGGTGAATAGTGGAGGATAGAAACTGTGAACCCACATTAGAAAGACTGTTTCAAACCTTCAAGTGTTAAAACAGGTTTAAAAGTAGCTGTTAGTTAGATTCTTGGGAGTGGACAAAGCTCCAAAATTTTCAGCCAGTGTATTGGTTAATGTCATCAGCCTTCCCCTACCAATATCGATATCGGCGATAGCTAAAATTTCCATATCGGTCGGGCTTCAGTTAAGAGCTGCTGTTTCAACTATTTAACTCTCCTCTCTTCCATTAAAAAAACAATGTTGTGACTTTTAAATACTAATTCCGCATTCTGGACTGCAGTCTAGTCTTAACTATTTATGTTTGCTCACATAAGTCTTCTTTAAATAACCCTTGATGTCTGTATATTTTAGAGAAAAGCACCGAAGGGTTAACATACATAATAAACCAGTGAGGTCCGTTACGTTTGCTTCAGACAGGAGCAGACTTTAGAGTGTCGCTCAGATTGAAAGTGCTGAACTCCGACTCACTTCTGTCCCTCAGCGAGCTGCTGAATCTTGTAAGCATTGGCCTCAGCCGGCCTCTTCACCGTAGCGATGAGTTCTTTGTCGATGCGAGTGATCTCCTTCTCCTCGACGGTGATCTCTTTCTTCCTATGAATAACCTGAATCTCGATTTCTTCCAGCCGGATCTTTTGCTGCTCCTTGGCCTCCTGAAGCGCATAAGCCAGCTGCGCCTCGGCTTTCTGAAAACACAAACGATCCTGACGTGAGTGATTTGTCCTCCTGACCGACTTCACATGACGGCGTCACTTAGCAAAATATTCAAATATCTAGTTTTTTTTACCGTCTGTATCGTATTAAAGATGAGCAGTGCTTTTGAAATATTTAAAGTCGTTAAAATGTAAACATTTGAAGACTTAATGCGACATTCATGATGGCATGTTTTATTTGATGTTAGTATGGGAGCTGATAGGGACACGCCCAGTCATCCACCAAAGGTACTTTTCTAACCAGAGCACTTTTTTTTTGACACAGCATCTAGCACCTGCTGTCCCTACCTCCCAAAATAAAATAAAATAAAAAGTAAAAGAAACAACTCTAAGCACCCCAGCATCTTTCTACCATCATAATTTATTTTGACAGGATTATAAAGAGGAAACCACGTCACAGGTGAGCTCCGCGGGCCTCACGCGTTACATCTGATTCTCAACCCGTTCGGAGTTATAGTTAAATAAAACAGCACAATGAACTTTTTCTGAGGAGATATTATATATTAGATGGGCGTAACATATCGAGTCACGAGAACTCGTTTTCAAGAGACCTGTTTTTGGGAGCAGATGGTGGGGGTTAAAGGGCCTTGCTCAGGGGCCCAGAGGGGCAAGTGAGGGTGTGGTGTTTCACCTTTTCCACAAACATTTTGATGTTGACGGTACCAGGAGTTGAACCTATTTAACAATCAGGGAGTCACGCTAATGAGCATATATGTAGTTAGGCAAAAGTGCAAATGGAACGATTGAACGTCGGACCTTGGTGTTGATCTTTTGGCTGAACGCAGCTTTCTGCAGCTCCAGTTCTCGTTCGGAGTTGGCCATTTTGGCGTCGGTCAAATATTTCACTTCCATCGTGTCCTTTTTACATTCTTCTTCCTAGCAGACGAAAAACAGAGCTACGATTAGCCGTTTTTCTTGCGCAGCAGAATATGCCTCACACAGACTCCTGTCAGACAGGCTGTTTACCCGTATCCCAGCATCCCTCTCTGCTTCAGCCACACCGATGGCTGCGTCACACTTGACAGCAGCGATCTGGGTCTTACCGAGAGAGCTCAGGTAGTTCACTTTATCGTACAAATCCTGCGAAAACAAACAGGTCAGCTGAGGAGCTGCAGAGAACAACATCCAACTAAAGGGTTTTAGTGAATATATGCAAAAAGACATGAAAGACATTGAAGTTTGGGATAATTGAGACAAAGTACGTTTGCTTCAGAGTTAGTGAAATTAAAAAAAAGGCTGAAAATGTAAATATTTAACATTTTTGTAAAGAGTGCTCCCTTCAGGATGGAGTGAGAATGATCTGAACAGAAAACTACTTCCTCTGTGCGTCTTGATCCATTCAAACAAAAACAATATTGGAGAAGTGAAAACAAATGGGAGTCCATCGAACAGCTGCAGAAATTTTACACCAAAATCAATCTTAAAGCACAGAACACCAGTGCATTGTGGGTATAGTTTATAATTTATGTTGGACACGCATTCAACTTGTTTTTGAAGACGTGGGGCGGCTGTGGCTGAGTGGTTAGAGCAGTCGTCCTCCAATGCGAGAGTTGGGGGTTCGAATCCTCCAGCAGTCACATGCTGAAGAGTCCCTGGGCAAGACACTGAACCCCTCACTGCCTCTGATGTGTGCCCCATCAGTGTATGAATGTGATCTAAAGCTCTGATTAGTCTCTTTAGAATGATTTGTTCAATTAGCTTTGTATAGATCTAGTAGAGAGCTGTATGAATGGGTAAATGAGGCACAGATTGTTGTGTAAAGCGCTTTGAGTGTCTTGAAATAAGATAGAGAGGCGCTATATAAGTACAGCCCATTTACCATTTACATCTAAATGTATTTCTAAAATAATTTAAAAGCTGGGATAAATGTTTCGGACCTTCAAACAATACAAATGTCCAAGAACATAAAGTGAAATGACACGCAGGTGTGTTCATCTCCAACAAAAACGACTGAATTAAATTGGTAAGTGAAAGCGAGCCACAACGTTAGACCTTGGTGTTTAAAGCAGAAACATCTGTATCTACTGTAACACAGAATCCACCGACAACACGCCCAAGAAACGACCTGTTTAACATTTTATACCAAGAACAGTTTAAACAAATAAAGACAAATGATATCCGACTCCTCCATTAAGAAACTAATTTGTCTTCGTGCTTCATGAAGCGTCTCCGTTCAGGTTTATCTGAAACAGACACTTCAACCATCCGCACACCAGTTGGTTAAAACATACAATACTACTTTATTTATACTTTATTTATAAAGCACTTTAAAAACACCGAAGTGCTGTTCACTGATGACACATAAAAGCAAGAATAAAAACTATAAAATCAACTGAAACTGTAAAAGTAATGAACCGTTAAAAATCGTAAAAACAGCTAAAACAATCAAAATAAATAAATTAAAAATAGGGGTGCACCGATTGCAGTTTTCTGGCTGATCACCGATTTCTAAAAAGTCTGACCTGCCGATACCGATTTTGTTTTATAAGCGACACTGTCCGGTGTTATAAGGTCACAATGCACCTTCAATTTTCCAATATTATTTTTTTTAAAAACAGACCCTTGAACAATATCCTAGAAACAATACGAACTTGTTTTAACTGACCATGAGGTAGTGCTCTGAAATATAAATGAAGTTCAGACAATTGTTAAAACTAAAAAAAAAAAAAAAAAGATAAAATCGGTTTCTCATGCAAGAATTGGCCGATTTCTGATTTCACAAAATTAAGGAAATCGGGGCCGATTTATCGGTGCGCCCTTAATTAAAAACATTAAAACCAACATTTCAAGCTGAGTTAAAAGCCAAAGAGAAAAAAAATAAAGTGTTTTCAGAGAAGATTTAAAAACAGGAAGTGAGTCGGCTTGTCCGTCAGCTCAAAATAAAAACTAAAGGAGAATTTCTCGTGAAAATCTGCACGGACACAAAAACAAATCAAAAGAAGGTTTTTTTTTTTTGTTACAAGTTTAAGGGCCCGTAAGAAAAAACTTCTAGGATGGGTTCATGAAGCTTAAAAAAGAATTGCGCTGAAGGATCAGAAGCAGAATGAGACACTTAAGAGGTGAAACATTTAATGTAAAAACAGTTTTTTCTCCTTTCAGGCAGATTTAGATGATTCCTGCAGGTAACTCCAGTTTCAAACTAAATCTATTCTCATCTGTGTCACTGCTTGAACTCAAATTTCTACACATTTCTACACATAGGTCTATAAAATTAATCCTGCACTACAATAAACACTTTAATGTTTCTGTCTGCGCCTGACCTGTTTTAGAACTTAATTGTTGATATTTTATATTCTCTGTTATTTTAATATCTTGTGTAATTCCTTGTGTTTGTTCCTTTGTGCTGAAACTCTGGCACAACAATTTCCCGTGGGATCAATAAAGTTCCATCTTCTCTTAATATTTTCATTCAATAAGCTGGTTTGGATCTTTTAGGTTTATTTGCTTTAATGCAATCTCACATTTCTCTAATCTGTTTTTTTTTTTCCAGAGCATCTCGTTCATCTTCTACGAACCTTGATGGTGAAGCTCAGAATCTCTATGCCCATCCTGCCCACGTCAGGAGATGCCACGTCCCTCACCGCTTTGGCGAAAAGGTCTCGATCCTGATAGATCTGCTCCACGGTCATATTACCTGCAACACAAAAACATCATCAGCATCACAAAACTAGATTTGGTCCATAATGGTCCAAATTTTTGTCAAAGACGAGAAAATAAATCGAAAACGACTCCTCTGTTGTTAGCTAATGTTAGCAGTCACGTTAACGGCTAAACTTGCTGTAATGAAAGTTAGCTTGAGGCTCCCAAACATACTTGAAATAACCGCAGCGTAAATGTTTGTTTTGTCCGTTTGCACATTAATTCAGTTTGGTTCCTCCTTCACTCCCACAGGTAACCAGCTAACTAACTGGTTACACATCTTCCTTAAAAGGTGACCAGCTACAGTCATTAGCGCAACAAAACTGAATGGGGGAAAACACTGTAACCTTTTTTTTTTTTTTAATTTTTTTTTTTTATTAATAACACACAGAACTACAAAACACTACAAAAGAGAAAGATATATACAAACACTCGTGAAGGGTGTCAGAACTACAATTTACAAGCTAGGGGGGTTACAAAATGATAAAAATTGAGTAATACATATATAAAAAACATTAAATGAAAAGAATAAACATAAGAAACAAAAAGGAGCAAAACAATATGAGAAACTTAAAACAACAAGTTTTTTGATATCTGTTGTGAAATGGTTCTAGCAGTTTTCCAGTTTTTTAATCTACTTATTGAAGAATAGTACAACTTGAATTCGTTCATAAAACACAGGAAGGAGGGCTGATTGTCCCTCCACTTACTACAATGAATGTGATACTTTGCTATAAGGATGACTATATTTATAGCATCGGAGTAAGCTGAGCTTAAATTATCCATGTAAAATAAAATGGCATCAGCATCAAAGGGAGGAATGTTCAGTTTTAGATTAATCCAGTTTGTAATGTCAGTCCAGAAACTTTGTGAGTATTGACATGAAAAAAAACAAATGTTCAAGGGATTCATCTTCAGATTTACAGAAGGTACACAAATCCACCTCAAATTTAAATCTTCTGTGCAGAAGCATGGCTACTGGATAGATCTTATTTATTATTTTAAAATGGTTTTCTTTCACTTTAGGAGATATAGGCCATTTGACAAATTTTGAATGAGCAGAAGTCATGGTTTTATGATTTATATTGGGAGGTTTCTTGAATGAATCTTTGTTGTAATCATAGTAAATCGTTTGTCGCATGCATGCATTGATCATCTTGTTATTACATTTGAGATCAACTAAACTACAGTCATTTAGTTTTAATGTGGGCATGGAAACGGTCACCTTTGAATACATAATGATATTTTTAATTAACTGAATCAAGGCTAAAGGGATTGCTTTACATACCTTCATAAAATCTTTATGGCAGCAGCTAAGGTTATATTTTCTAACAAAAGATGAGAAATTTAAAAGATCTCCATTACAATCCAAGATGTCTGTTACAAAAATGATGCCTTTTTCATACCAGTCTTTTCTAAATATTGACTTTCTGCCCACTGTGATTGCTCTATTATTCCACAAAGTTGATCCATGAGGTGAGAAATTATGGTGAAATATCATTTTCCAGAACTGAAGAACTTGTTTGTGGAAGTTTGATAGTTTAACTGGAATCTTCGTCACTTCGAAGTCACACCTTGCAAGGAAGTCAATTCCTCCCAGCTGCTTAAAAATGGAGGCAGGGATATGAAACCACATTGAATTTTGTTGTTGTAAGAAAGTTTTTAACCATTTAGTCCTAAATGTTCCAACCATTGCTTCAAAGTCTAGTGCATTGATACCACCATGCTCATGTTTTTTAACTAGTTGGGACCTTTTAACATAATGAGTCTTATTTTTCCACAAAAACTGAAAGATAATAGAGTTGGCTTTTCTTATGTTTTGTGGTGATATATACATAGAATGACATGGATAAACAGCCCTGTAACCTACCGGAGATGTTAATCCAGGTTGGAGCGTTGAGATAGAGTCTTCACGCGTAGAATGACAGTAACAACAACGAGTAAGCCCCGCCCCGCCGAAGAGACGCTCCGGCACAAGGGCCACAAAAAAAAACAACAACAAAAGTTTAGTTTAGAATTAGAAGAAAAAAAAAAGCTATGTTGAAGTAAATAAAATAACCCAAATTATTTTAAAGAACCGCTGACAACTAAGAGAACGTTGTTAATCTTTTGCAGTTGGGTTTTCGTTAATCGACATGAGGTACGCTTCTTTGGTTTACCGGCTCATGTACCGTCTTTTAATCATGCGCAGACGCTATGCATTTTGTGGGACGCAATATGCGCTGGTGAGTAAATGATGCAAACCTAACTAAAAACCTTTTATTTTCATTCACCATTTATTTATACAGATTAGTCTCATTATTATATTGAGTATTATTATATTACATTATTATATTGAATATTATATATTGAGTCACGAGGACTCGTTATCGAGAGAGACCTGTTTTAACAACACACACAAATACACAGATGAGGTAATGAGGTTTATTTACAAACATAAAAACATGTAGCCCTAATTTTTCCAAACATTTGTTTATTTTATTTTTTTTGTAGCTAATTATAAAGATAACCAGTATGACCTGAGGCAATAATCCAGGTATAAAAATCTGACAATCAGGTCCTCTGGACAGAAAAACCAGAAGAATTTATCAAAAATAAAATGTGTTTGTTAATTGTTCTAATAAAAACAATTAGGTCATAATATTTATATGTCTAATATAAACTGTGGTATGGTTGTTGAAATGTCTATGGTTGAAAACAGGAATGCCTTGTGTGTTATTGATTTATTTGTTTATTTGTGTAAGTTTTATCGTTGCATTCTTCCTGGAATAATATTTTTGCCATTTCTTTTGTAAATACTCTTCTGTCCACATAGCGAGAAGTAAAACACCAAAACATATTCATTTGATTGGTTTGTCCACATTATTAAATAATTAAATAAACAAACAAATAGAAACCCCTGATCTAAAAAGTGTTAAATACATTTAAAAAAAAATGTTGCAATAAAAATTGAAAAGGGCATTCCAGTCAATTAAAAGCATTATTTCACATTCATACTTGTAAAACAAAAGTATAAAATCAGTCAGCATAAAGCAAAGTTGTTGTTTTTCACTATGTTTATATACAAATTCTGTTTTATTACAGTACATCAAAACCTTACAAGGGAAGAAAGTACTTTAACACTATTTTTATAATTTTATTGTTATACCCGTATATTTTTTTAACATAAACTCTTAAACATAAACTCTGTACAGATGAAATTCAAAATGTTTAAAACTACAACAATATATATTATATACAAGATATTTACATAGATAGAAAGGTGCTATATAAGTACAGTTCAGTTACAATATAGATATATATATATATATATATATATATATATATATATATATATATATATATATATATATATATATACAGACCACCAAGCTACCACAGCCCTCTGTGTGGAGCAGAGGGCTGCCATCTAGGGCACCTGGGGGAGCAGATGGTGGGGGTTAAGGGTGGTGCAAATGCGGGTGGAGGGAAGCATGTGTGGGTGCTTCACCCTTCCCACTCAGATTTTGATGTTGTTGGTCCAGGGAGTTGAACCGACGACCTTCAGATCACTGGCCCACCTTCTCTATCCTCTGCTCCACCACTTCCCACCGCTAGAATATAACGCTGACAAATATATCTAATACAAAATTTTAAAATGTAATTATTTAAGCAAAAAAACTTATTTATGTAAAAGTAAAATTACTGGTATTAAATAAATACATTTACTCATTTACACAGCAATTTAATGGAAATTATTATTTTTTTACCTTACAATGATGTTTATTGTGTGAGTTTGAATAAAACATTTTAAATGTCTATAAAAAAGCACATTATTTGGTTCTGTTTGTGTTGCTTTTATTGCTCATTACAAACATTAAAATGTACAGACGGGGTTCCTATTTTACTATTTGTAGTATTACAGTACTTCTGTCTGTTGCTGAGCTAAACTGGACGTGAGTAACAACATTTATTTCCACCTCCTGTATCCATATGCTGTGAAATAAAATAAAACGTGAATTTACATCCATAAAGCCAAATTGTTTCAGCTGCTCCTTCTTGTGTTTCCATTCCTTCTGTTTGGGTTATTATCAGTGCGTGACTGTGTGTCTAATTACACCCTCCTGTAAACTGGACCACATCACCCCCCCGACTCTCTCTCCTCATTGCCGGGATCAGTGGAGGAGCTGCTCCTCGTATCGCCATTCATATGGGGGTGGAGGGAGGTGCTGACTCCTCCTGATGCCACTGCACCTCCTCGTGAAGGGGACGAGGAAAACAGAAAACTCATGAAAATATTTAAAAGAATTTATCACTAAATGAAAGGAGAGGAGGAACGAGGTAAACATAAAAACACTGGACAAGAGGGACGACCCAACGGGCTGCATCAGAACCGCGTCTGGAACTATAAGAAGAGTTCTGATCAAACAAAAAGGTAAGAAACAAACATCATTTTAGTTGTTTTAAATGACAACATTATGCATTCTGGTTTTCTTTTGCTGTTTTGGATAAAGTACCACCTGTTCCGTTTTGGTAATTGTGCAGAAAATGTCCTTTCACAATCTTTAAAAATCACATTTAAAGTTGATTTCAGCGTTTTATCGGTTGTTTTTACGCAGCAATGACCCAAGTTTCTATTACAGCTGATAAGTGATGTAACGCTTCGAGCATCCTCAGCCTCACTGTTACATTTTCATCATAAATATAATAAACCATGAAAGAAATACAACCATTGGTCCACTGCAAATACCTCAACAAACAGAAAATAACTTCTTTTTTTTTAAAAAAAACAGAAATTTCAGGAGTTTGAAACCTCTAATTTGGTGGGAGAGTGTGATGAAGTGAAGCCGGAACACAATCTGCTGCTTCCTTAAATAGATAACTTTTATAATTGCCTTTTATACTGTATGTATATATTTCTGTTCAGTGCCCTGAGATGACTTCTGTTGAGACTTGGTGTTATATAAATAAACTGAACTGAACTGAATTAATTTTACGCATGTAATGGTTTAGTAAAGAGACAGTTTTTCAATGAAGCTGACTTTAAAAATATTTTTTTCTGCTTTTGATGAACCAAAATCAACCCAGTGGAACCTTTTTGGGACAGTAAAATCACTTCCTGTTAGGGACACCCTAGAAAGTTCCCTAAAACCGTCTGCCTTTGGGATCAATGTTTCACTGCTGAGTCCCATTAGAGTTTAGAGTGTTTAGTGTAGAGTGCCTCGCTCTGTGGGGGGGGGAGGGATGATGTCCCCTTCAGGGCCTGTAAACATGCAGTCAGGTGAATTTAGCTTCACAGTTTTTGTTTAAATTCAAAAAGTGCCGGTGAGATGGTCTCTGCTCTCAGATTAGAGCTTCGTTTCTCTTTCATCTTATTTTTTTTTTAGCAGCATTTGGAGTCTAAGCATTTAAATTTTGATCGTTTAAAAAAATATCAAGGTTTTTTTATTGTCATTCGCATCACATGTGGTACATGAGGTGGAACAAAATTGTGTACAAGGTCCCAGTTACACCTAAAAATAGCAATTAGCCAGAATAAACAGACAATTATTGACTTTATATATGACGTGCACATCATAATGATTTTGTCCATTAAAACACAAAAAGGCTCCAACTTTGCACGACTTGGTGTGGCGTCTTTATTGCATCAAGGAGTTTTTTAGTATTCCTATCCCCAACAACATCCTACCTATGAAGGTAAATGTGCAGATAGATTTCAAATGAACACGTGCAGTACTTTTTGAGTATATACACGGCAAAAATGTAAAGTGTTTGCGCTCGTCAATGCAAGTGCTCAGTTAAAATCTAACAAAACAAAACACATTTACCTTCAAAGTAAATCATGTGATCAAATGATGGGAGCAAAGTCTTCATTAAAAATAAATCATCTTAATAGAAATATAAGATTCTTCTGTTCACTGGACAAAAACATGCCTTAAAGAAAATCCGTGTTTAAATGATGTTAACCTTTGATGTTTTTATGAACAGTTTGTCTGAAGCGTTTCAGTTGTCCAAACGAGATCACGTTACATTCTGAACACAGATTGTTCTTTAAGTGATTAAACTGTAAATTAGTTTGATTCTAAGGCCTGCAGAGGTGTGGTATAACTCTCTAAAGACAACAGGAGGAGCACACAAATACAAACTTTCCACAGATTTTATTTTGTCGCCCACCTTTAGATTCATTTCTGGCAACGCCACTCGTCCATATCAACAAACTCGTTAAACCGTTTGGTTTCACCACGCATGGCTGTGTGGCGTAAATGAAGCACACACAGAGGAACACATCAATGTGTTAATATCAGTATCGGTGCACAGTGGAGCAGTGGGTTCGTATTGTTGTCTTGCACAAAGAAGGTCCCAATTTGAAACTCAGCTGAGTTTGTATGTTTAACTGTGCATGCCTGTTTTTTTTCAGGTACTTTCCTTCTATGGTACAAAACATGCAGGTCACATTAGTTATTCCAATTCAAAATATGGTACTTGTGGTTAAAGGTGTGTGTGTCCCTGCGATGGACTGGGGACCAGTCCAGGTTTACCTCACCTCTCACACAATGACTGCCAGAATTAAAATAATGGTTACAGGAAAAAAAAAAAAGGATTCTGATGTGTTCTTGAGGCCACTCAGAGTAGATCCGCTGCTCCTCCACATCAAAAGGAGCAGTTGAGGTGGTTTGGGCATCTGGTAAGGATGCTCCCTGGGCGCCTCCCTATAGGGAGGTTCTTCGGGCGTATCCGACCGGGAGGAGACCCCAGGGAAGAACCAGGACACGCTGTCTCTCGTTTGGCCTGGGAATGCTTTGGGGTCCTTCCAGAAGAGCTGGTTGTGGAAAGAGATGTCTGGGCCTCCCTGCACAAGCTGCTGCCCCCGAGACCTGACTCCAGTATAAGCAGAAGATAATGGATGGATGGATGGATGTGTTTTTGAAAAACAGCCCAATGTCTGAGGATTAAAGAGCTCAAAGTGGCTCTCAGTGTGCAGTCGAAGAGGTGTAGCTGTTCACACGATAATTTACAGGATTTTGTTTAAAAAAAAATAAAAAAGACAAACCGGTGGAGAAGTATGTGTTGTATCTCCATCATTAACTGTCTCCATGTTTGTCTCTCTTTGTTAATACGTCTAATCTTAGCAAACATAATCTGATATGTGTGGACAAACAGGGCCTGACTGCACTCAACCTTTGTCCTGGACCTCTGCAGGGGTAATTAGCTGCTGAAATATTGATGTGTGTGTGGTGTGTGTGTAAGTGTGTGCGCATCATGTTGGTATTTATAAGGGGGTAATTTTACATGTTTATTATAAGGTACAGTTTTAGCCTTGATCCTTTGTGAGTGAAGTTGTGAAGAGAAATAACTCAAATCAAATTCTCCTCCTGGTTCACATTCTGTTTATACAACTAGTTTCAGCTTCTTTCTCTCTCGTACTGTTGAGGTGTTTCATTCAAGTGTCTGGACGTCTTGTTCCTGAGTGATGGTATGATGGAGCGTGCGATGGACTGACGGATCGGAGCGTGGTCCTCATTAATGAGGGTGTTGCTTTGGTTAGCAGTGGTGAAGATGAAGTCAAGTGGAGTCAAAAGTCAAAGCTTTGAATTTACTGGTGTGTCTACGTTCCTTGTGGTCATGAAGTTTGGATCAGGAGCGAAGGAATGAAGTCCTGGATACAAGCAGCTGAAATGTTCTTCCCTTAGGGTGGCCAGACTCAACCTTAGAGATGAGGTGAGGAGCTCCGTCAGCTGGGGGGGGGGAGCTCGGAGTAGAGCCACTGCTCCTCTGCATCAAAAAGGAGTCAGTTGAGGTGGTTCAGGCATGTCTCCAGGACTCCTCCATTTGGAGGTTTTTCAGACACATCCCACAGGGTAGATCCAGAACTTTTTGGAGGGATTATATTTCCTCTCTTGTCTGGGAATGACTTAGTACCACCCAGAAGGAGCTGGAAAGTGTCTTTGGGGAGAGAAAGGGCTGAGTTTCTCTCCTGCACCTGCTTTTGTAGGGATTGTGGTGTTTGTCTTGGTCTCTAGCCCCATCTTGTGTTGTGTTTATGTCCCATGTTCTTCTGATCCTTAGTTTCTGTTTTCTATATATATGTTTTCTATGTGTGTTTCTGTCTTAGCACCAGCATAACTGGTTTGTTCCACTTTGGAGTAAGCTGTTTGGGGGAAGAATCAGTTTTGTGTTGTGTGTCTCCTTGACTGACGAAGCCTTCTGGATGGAAGGTGAAACGTTTCAGCAAAAAAAAAAAGAAACTGTCCAGATGACCTGACTGAAAATTGTTGGGGTGTTTTCTATAGGGTTTGTGTTTTCCTAGTGTATGCCTCCATCTGGTGTTGTGTCTCTGTTCCTGCACTCCCTGGTTTCCTAGTTTATCATTTCCCCTGATGTGTTTCAGCTGCGTGTCCTCACAGGTGTTTTGTCTCGTTAGTCACTGTAAGTCTGTGTCTGTGTTAGTCCTGGCATTGTAACCTGTCCACTGGTAATGTCCTGGTCTGCTTCTTGTGATTTATAAGTTCTGCTGCACCGACAGCCTTTTTGATTTCTTGTAAATAAATACTTGATTTTATAATCTCCTGAGTCCTGGCTTGCCTGCTTGCACCAGTGTCTCCCTTTAGGACAGCTTCGTCTGTAATGTGACTATGGATAAGCAGCAGAAAATGGAGATGGAGGTTGACAGTTCTGTTCCTCTGTGTTTTCCTGTGTCACCAGTTCATTTTTCCAGTTCTTTTCCAAAGTCAGCCTCTGCACCACAGTCCTGCTCCTCTCACACCTGTTCCTCATTCCTACTAGTCTCAGCTGCAGCCACATGCCTCCTTAGTTTCTGTCTTTTTATTTCCCCAGTTTTACTTCACCTGCAGGCTGCCATTGTGTGTTCTTACCATGTCTGGTCTCCTTCATGTCTCCCGAATTTTGTAGATTTTTTTTTTGTTGTTGCCACGTCAGCCTTTTGTTTTGTGCAAGAAATCAATTTTTTTTTACTCAAGCTCCTTGTGTCACTCTGCATTCCTGGGTCTAACCTCTATAAACCGTGACATCTGCTAACCTCTTTGCAGCTCATCACAGTTGACACATAACACTAAATGAGGCCGTTAAGGTTGGACCCAGATCCTATACATGTCAGATGAAACTGAAGCTGGTTCTCTTATCAAAGAGGAGCAACGGATAATGAATTTGAGGTGTCACAGCTGTCACCAGTCAAAAAGTTAAAGACTCAAATCTTATGGAGACATGAACGGAAACTAAATAATTTACCAGACCAATTTAATAATTTACACACACATTTTTCTTTCTTTACAAGGACTTTGTATGTACTTCCATTGATTTTTCCATTCATTTAGCAGAACCCTGACTATTACCCTAAACAAAACCATTATCAGGACATACCCAACCCTAAATCCAAACATTACCAGGATGTACCAACCCTAAACAAAACCATTACTAGGAAGTACCCAACCCTAAAGGAAACCATTACCAGGACGTACCCAAC